GTCAAAAACCCCTTACTAAACCTTTTAGAGGGTTCGGGAAACTGCAAATATACGGAACCTAAAAAGGGTTTAGTACACGTCAAAAACCCCTTACTAAACCTTTTAAAGGGTTCCGTATATTTGCAGTTTCCCGAACCCTTTTTAGGTTTTTTAAAATGCCTATTTTTTTTAGAGAGCACGGTAGACGTGAACGATGTCTTCATTGAAATGTTTTTCTTCTTTCAGTGTTTTATTCATATCACGAATTAAGAAAGCAAATAGCACTAATGTATCGATATCTCGATGTCTTAGAGCTCGGTTAAGATATTTGTATACAAATGTGTCACGTGTATACCACCACAGTGACGTATATGCCGTGTAATCCCGTTGCAATTCTATAACGTAATTTTCTCTGACAGATTCCACACCGTACTTTTGCTTGCACACTTCGATTAATTTAGTAAAACCATTTTCTGCATCCTCATCCTTCATTCTTATTAAAGCTTCAACGATTAATTGATACCACATAAATTTACTATTATCAAAGAGAAGATCGATATGTGTTTCTGCACATGGATCGTAGAGAGACAGTGGTATCGTTTCATAATATTCGAGATCAGTTTGTTTATTCGACAAACTGGTCACGACCGCTCTGATCTGCATAGGTAGAAAGGTTAGATGTACAGCCGAATTTTTGCAGTAGAAATCATTACTTACCTTTCTATAAGTACTTAATGATCGTTTTTGTTCTTCTTTCTTAGGACAATAGACATATATTGCGATAATCTGATTGAGATGGTGTACATAGGGTATTAGCCCTTGTCCTAGACCGTCTGAAACAATCAAAGTCATTTTCTCTTTTTTTCGTGGACGAATATAATTACATTTTTCACCATCTTCAAATATTTTCAGATAATTGAATGTTTGCTGTAGTTGCACTTGTGTTTGCCTATTTTCCTCAGTCGAATTGACATTTGAACCATACCAGATCAACGAGAATTCAATTGGATTCTCTTCCTCAGCTTCTTTTTCTCTGGCAAATTGACATTCTGCTTTTCGCCTCATTTTTTGTACCATTATAGGCGCTGTATATAAATAAAAATATTGCAAAAATCCCTGAGAAGAACCGAATAATGTACACACACTATACTTACATCGATACTTTGTTCCTGCTAGTCGTTCGCTGTCTTTTCTAAGCGTAACATAAAACTGCTCTTCTTCTAGATTCTGTAATAGAATTTGTTGTTTCAGAACTTCTAATTCTGCCTTCATTTCTTTGAAAGGATCCTGCCACTCTATCAGTGAATTGCTGGCGTCTTTTCTCTGTTCGGTGCGGCACCTAAAACTCAGATACTACTACAGGTTCGATTCCGTTACAAATTGACAATTTTATTTCTCTTACTTGAAACAGGGTTTTGATCCATTGACAGAATAAATGCTGAATTGTCCACTTTTCCCGACTTGATATTTCGCTTCACAGCATGCAGAAATCTTAGTATCGATCACTCCGTCCACAATGAAAGTCACTGTTAATGGATGGTTCCCACGACGTTCCGAGACGAATTCAAAGAGTTCTTTGAAACGAAGAAACAGAGTCAGCAAGCGAATCAAACGAACGAATAATAGAGAAAACCTTACCACCCGGTCTCAAAAATCCTTTGTATACAGTTACAGTCACTCCGAGAGAAAACTCTTGTTCTATACAAACTCTAGCACTAGTAACTGAATTTCGGACATCAGCTTCCACAGAATCAGTTTTCTCTGGTGGACCATCATAAATCATTGTTATTACACCTCTATTTCGATTATTTGTGTTTGCACTTCGTTGCTGAATTCCAAAAAGAGAAAACCAATTACAGTTGGAAACGACAGCAATTTTCCAATGCTCTTTCCAAATTTTTCATTATTCGGACTTGTCGAAGTTTTCCTCTGAAGAAGTGGGTACTATCGTCCATTACCCTCTGTCCGAATTGGTACTAGATGTCTCACATTTGCATCTGGACATTTCGCTAGGTATGACACCGAAACTTCATCGATTTCGTGCTTGCGACTATCATAATGTGTAACAGGTGTAAACACTATGGGATCGCAGCAGAACTGAAGACTACTATTCTAGCACATGCATCTCGAACTTCATCTAAATAATTAGCTGAATGTGGTATAGACTCGAATAACTGAAGTAAATATTTGATTGTATCAAAAAGGCTCCGTCCGCTATCCGTAGACATTTTAAAACCAAATAAGTTTGAAACGATAGAAAATAAATCTGATACTGCAATATATCTTCCACGTCACATCTTTGATCTGTAATTTTTATATTATGCACTGCTCTTCTGACAATAACTATCCGATATTTTCAAGAAAAAGTCATAAAAGTTAAATTCTGATTACGAATATTACCTTGAAGAGAATGTATCAGAATCTTTTACGTTTGCTATGGAATGAATCATTTATTGTTTCTTCTTAATATACGAAAGGAAAAAATCAACAAAAAAATTGTTTCAGAGCCAATACTGTCATCATTTGTTTTCATTTCTAATAGAATTAAACGAAAAAAACCTTTTACTAAATATAAAGGTACAACAATTAAATTTAATAAAGAGAAAACTGTTGTACATTGGAAAAAAGGAAGAAATGAAAAATTTAGTTTGTTCCAACTAGAAGAAAATAATAATGTGAATCTTTTAACAGTCATTCGTTAACGGGGGACCTTTCGCACTACTTCAGAAAAGATATCCATGACAGAAGTTAATCTGAATTGAAGATACTTTTTGCTTCTTTAAAAATGAAAAGCTAGAACTAACTCCGAGTTCTTGCACGGCCGTACGAACTGAGTACTACTTTCTTTTGAAAAAAGTTCTTTCTAACTGCCATACATACTCTTTTTTTCCGACGGAGTCACTTCCATTTCAGGTAGCAACATTTTTGCGAAACCTGTAGTAAAATTCCCATGTCTCATCTAACATCATATGCATTAATTTTTGTGCATTATTTTTACAGAAACAAAAAATAAAACAACGCAAGAAATGATCGTCGTTTCTGATGCATAAATCTATTGCATGACGATGATAAAACGATGCAAAAACATCATAAATAACAGAAAAAGAAATCCCAAACAAGTGAAGAGCCTTCCACAAATACTCCATCATCTCACGTATTAGCGTTCTAAGTAGTGAATAACCTTTCAGATGGAAACAAAACTATTTTTTGTTTGTTTACAAATTAGTAGATTAATCTATGTTGTTCAAAACTGATATTTATCATTTGATTCGATAAA